ATATTTTAGATACATATTCTACAGTTTATATTGGCATATTTTAGCAATAGTAGATTTATGGAAGATGACACATAGTGTCTAATAAAACGTATCTATCTTTGAATGATTCAGAAAATATTATTGAATAAAAAATATTTGCACTAAGTCTATTGTTTTTTGTAAGAACAAGATGAAATCAATTAATTAGTATCAAAGATATGGTATTTTTACACAAAACTCACGATTCAGTAGTATAAATAATCTGCTTTCAGATTCAACTCATATCTCGAAATCTTATATATTTAACTATTCTCGAAATCCTATATATATAAAAGTTGCAGTAAAGTTTTATAATGTTGTACATTATTCCATTTTGTACAAATTTGTCAAATATTCTATTTAAACGTACGGTTTAAAATACATAATAACTAACAGCACTATTACAGATCATTATAAACAGCACATTTAAAGCAATATTAGTTACAACACTCATTTATTTATTTACTTTAGTTTCACTTCATTTGCAACTTGTTTTTGTAAATTTTTAATTTACCACTAAGTTGCCAAAGTTTATTGCACTCAAAACAATACGCTTGTGATTAGACAATATTCAAAAATCAGCCCTTGTAGTATGTTCCACACTTCGGCTTCAATATTATCATCTATCTCACTCTAGCGCCATATATGTGAGCGAGCGCAGTATATACTTTATCTACATCAGGCAACACCAAATTTCAGGATAACCAACTTAATAGCACAAAACAATAAGTGTTTTTTTGACAACTGTCGATTTAATTAGTAAAAAGTAATTGAAAGTGACAGTTGTATTTTGTGAAAGTTTATAATGGCGAAAACAACTTTAGTGAATCCTTAGATTTTAAAACTTAGTTAAAAACATATATGTGAAGAGATTTCTCGCTTGTCTTGATAATTTAAACCATAAATGCGTATTATGAATTTAAATTAATGGTAAGCTGTTTTCGACGGACTGTCTTCGCATAAAGGTAGGCCTACTTTGAAAACTTTTTGAAATAAAATATTATCTAATATGAGTTGCTTACTAATTCTATATCAATATCAATGAGGTGTTTAAAATTACGAGACATTAGGTTCGATAAATGCAGAATTTCACTATCAACTCCCACACTTGAATTAGGTTGTACATATAAAGACATAAATATATAGGTGGACAAATACATGCGAGTTTAAACCAGATAATAAATTAATTAATCCAATTAGCTAATGGCTTTGACTGACCGATAAGTAAATAAGAATAAAACGTCCAGTAACGAATGTAATTACAACTACACTAGATTACTTGATATCACAATAGAAAAAAACTAGATATGACGAGATAAAAAAGTGCATATATCCAATTATTTATACACCCGCGTAAGTGTAAATATGTATATAACGATTAAATAAAAAACTACATCAAATAAAAATATTTTCAAAAATGTATTCACAAGATTCTCCGTTTCAATAATACAATTCTGTTATAAGCATATAATCTTTTTGAATAGGAAATGCATTTTGCAAGAACTCAAACTTTCTTTTCGAGAAATTTCTTATTAATAATTTGTTTATCTATAGTTATTCTTTTCTAATATCAAACCAGAAAAGCGTGACAATAATAAATAAAACAAATAGCAAAATAAAGTCACATAAATAGATTTCAATTTATTTGTAATAAACTGAAGGCACGTGTCGCTTTACAGGAAAAAAAAATCTCGGACAGAAATGCAGTTTTAGATGTGAAGTCAAATGATTTTTATTTAGATGATTAAAAATCCATTTCCATTGGTAAAGATAATATTTTTTTGGAAAGCAAAGTGCTGCTTTCAGAAATTTGCATTATGTTTCTTTCTAAATGAGATTCACTTTAGATATATATTATGTATATGTATATAATAGGGGAGACTGGGCACGATTGTGCCGGGTTACATAACTGCTAACTATAATGATTTTGAAATTTTTGATGAAGTATATTAGTTCAAACAAGTTTCCATTGTTGCATTGAGTCAGCGCCCCACATTAACATGATCTGTAAACCGAATTGCTTTTAAAGAGCCAAAAGTAAGTTTTTTTTATCGATTACTTTTAATAATAACTATTATTGATCTTCTTTTTATTATTTTGCTGCTACTTGGATATTAATAGTTAATTATCAGCAATTAGGTTTG